CGTCTTGGGGGGGCTGCGGCAGGTGCCAGCGCGGGGGGCCTCCGCTCGGGTCCCGCTCCTGCGGCTTGGGATAAAGGCCCTCAGGCTGAGCGAGGGGGACGAGGAGGCGCCTGGTGGCGCCGGTTGTCCGCAGAGCCCTGCGGGGACGGGCCTGGCCTTCGCTCTGCCCGGTGCTGCTCCCCTGCAAGGGGGTGTCCGGGCTTAGCTGTCACTAACAACATGGCTTGTGTGCGTTGAGTGGAGGGTGGTGTGAAATTACTATTTTCTACCTCGAGGTGTGTTGGTTTTTTGAGATGTGGCTTTGGGCCTTGTCCTGTGTTAGGACTCCTGCACCCATGAGGTTGTTGGGGACAATGATGTCCCCGCGTGGGTCTGCTGGGAATCACTCTCATGGGCTATATTATCTCCTGATAGTGTAGGAGTTAAAAACACTTTTTAATGCAAAAACTTACCATTTCAAGAAGGCTCCATAATGTCCCTCCTCCTTCTTTCACTCCCCTTTTCTCCAGGGGGGTTGGACTCTTCTGCTCTGCACCGCTCATAAGCGACAGTTGCAACGATTGCTTCATCTCGTGTGTTTAGATGAGCTTGAAAAAGCCATGTTTCTCATTGTGCAACGGGAGATGAGCAGCACTTATTAATTTGAGCCAAGCTCCGTGTCCTAGTTAGCAGCCAAAGTCATTGGTTTTTGTAATGTTTTTTAAGGGAAAGGCTAGGAGGGAACTTTGTAGCTTTTACAGGTGAGACAGCAATGAGAAAGGTGAGTACCCTGGAAGCAGGTGTTGGCTTTTAATCTGAAATGACTGTGCTATTTCCTCTTTAAGGCTTTTTTTTTTTTTTTTTCCCTGTGGTTGTGGGATGTATCTTCTGAATCTGTCGTAACTAGTTGTAATTGCACCTTGCGATTGCTTCTCGCTAGAATGTTCTGTGTAATTAATGCATATTTAGAGGTCTGCTCTCATTTCTTAACAAGTATTGGAGGGGAAAAGAAAGCATATTGTGTCGGCTGCTTTTTTAACAAGTATATTGGTGCGTGGTGGAGCCTTCGTGTGCTGTTCCTAATGATCAGATCTGTGTTGGGTGGTTTTTGGCCTCAGAACAGGCAGCGTTAGTGGAGAGCACTGGCACCTGAATTTGCTTAAACCCTCAGTAACTTGGCTGTTCTAATCTGTCGCTTATGGCTCAGAAGTTTCTTTTCCTCCTATGATTTGAGGTCAAGGATTTTGAACTGGCCTCTTGTTCCCATCTTGACGGAGTCTTGGGACATCATGGCACGAGGCCAGTCTCCTCCTGGTATAATTATGACAAGCAGCAATTTATTATCTGGAAGTTGGAATTCTTAACTTCTTTTACCCATGGAGAAATGCATCTGGCTGGACTTTGCTATTCTGCAAGAACGAAGGGCATGGCCTTGAGGCTCTTGCAACACTTTCCGTATTGCTCTGGCAGGAACCGCGGTCATGGAGCACCAACCTTGCTGATTTGGTGTCACACTGACCAGCAAAGCCGGGGGACAACGAGCTGTTGTTTGCAACTGGCAATTGTTCAGTGCATTTCGTGCTGTTGAAAGAGTATTCTGCTCTTCTACGAGACTCTTAAGTTGGCCTTTGTGATCCACCTTGTAGGGACAGGGAGTTCTCATTGAAGGACTAAGGGGGCTCCAGGCTGTTATGACCTGAATTGGCTGGACATAGAGACCGATAATGTCATTGAAGAGGAGATAAAGAGCCTCAGGTGGCAGTGGGAGGGTATTTCAGTCCCTGTTTTCTGTGGGGTTTCCTGGGCACTTCTCTTTGTTCCCTCTCTTTTTCACACTGTACCTCAGGAGTGGCTCCTCTTACACAAGTTACCTCCGGCTCTAGTGGCTGGGCAGCCTCAGGCATCTTCCTACAGGGGAAACTGTCTCCCAGCGCCGAGAAGGACCAGGCAGAGCCAACGTTCGTACCAGATCTGCGCTCTGCCGCGGCCCGGAGCAGTCGGAGGCAGCGGTCCTGGAGGCCGTCGTTGTGCTCTTACTTCTGCTCACTCCACGGTTATTTCTAGTTATGTTTCGCCTTTCCTGGGCAGCAGGTATTGTCATCCTGCAGGGCTTCCTTTGCTGTTTCTTCCCTCGTGTCTCTTGGGAGCGCGGGGAAGGTGCTGAGCTTGCCTGCGTGCCCTGAGTGTGCGGTGCAGTAGGAATGACAGTGACCTGGGCAGGACACACATGCCCGAGCTGTGGTCTGAGACACACGGCGCCTCTCTAGTCTCCTGGCTATGAGGTTATGTTCTTTTTCCCCTGTTGTGTTGCCCTCTCTCCTAAGCCCTTCCTGCTACTCATATTGGCCTTGGTGAGAGGGTTTCTTGGATGTAGGTGACGTGTCCTTGCTGCGAGCCACCTTATTGTGACAGCCATCAACACTGTGCGTGAGTGCTTGTCACTGAATCCCTGCTTGAGAGAGGAAACGAGGTACCCAAGCAGCTCCCTGCGATTCTGCCTAATTTCAAATCTGTGTGGCTGGAGCTGCATTGAAGTTAATGCAGGAGCCCAGAAGCCTCCCTGAGGACATCTGCTCCGGTTCCCTCTCGGAAGCGGGTGTCACCTCCGTGATGAGCTCGAGGTGCTTTCGTGAGCAGACCCAGGAGCAGTCTCGGTCTGTGGTCTGCACCCAGGGTTGATCTGTGACTTGCATTGAGGTTTGAAACACCACTGTGTTCACAGTCCCCGTTATTTTAATTTCCTGCCTTCTATTTAAACCTTTTTCTTTTGGAAACTTCAGCAAGAGATGACCACAAAGGCCTGCGTGCTTTGATTTTCCCTTCTCTATCATCTTCTCTACGTTTTGATCCATGCATTGTGCATTGACTCTGCTGTGCCATCACAGCACCTGACTGTAGTGCTAGAGGGACAACCATCAACACTTGTCACCTGAGATAACCCAACGGAGAGATCAGTTTGATATATATGGCTTTAATGGCAGGATTAGAACTTGTAATAACCTCAAAAGAATAAGGCATAGCTTCCCTGAAGCTAATGTGACAACAGTATTAAATCATTCTTTCCTAAAGGAGTCCCAAAATATTTTTGGAAAAACAGAAACCTTAACCCTTAAATTGTAGGATGACTGTTTTGAAACTGTATCTGGTGAGGAGCTGGAAAATAGGTCTGGTGTACTGAGGCATAACCCACAAAATGGAAGCCTGTGGTCTTTAACTAAATTACTTGTCCTTTCCTTTGAGGGATTAAACTATTTTAGTTAGAAAAACATTTTTTAGTATGAGAATAACTTTGCTCATGTCAAAATTACCCATTATAGGTATGTCTATGGAGATTTGGAATGTCTTTCAGATGTGTCCTAATTTATTTTAATTGAATACCTCCCATGAGTGTTAAAGAACTGGGGAAAAAAGTCAAGCAATTACTTTTTATATTTTCTGTGGCTTTTAGGAAAGTTATTAACCTTCAAGTTAGGGTCTGTGTCAGTTTTGTGTCATGTGCTGAACGGTGTTATCTTACTCCGTAGGGACAGGAGGTTTGGAAGAGCAGTCGCTTTGGGCTTGAATGTCTACAGAGCTGAGGATATAGTTGTCTGTTCCATTGGCTTCAGATACAGAAGAAGCAGTGAAGAGCGAAACAGCAGCACGGAGCAAGAGGGTATGTAATGCTTCATTGCAAGACTGATCTCGTCCTTTATGTAAACCTGTTCACGTGCAGAAAATCTTCTTTGACTTTGAAGGAAGGTGCTCTCAAAACTCTTACTTTGCCAAGAAACTTAATTCATTCTCTGTGTAAATTGTTGCCTCTGCAGGGTATTTGATATCCATGACAAAACCGTATCTCAGGTGTGTAAAGCTCTCTGGTTTAGTGCTGTCACTTATGCACCTGTGGAAGTCTGGCTTTTACTCTTTTGCTGTCTTTATTGTGAATGAAGAAATGGGATGTGCAGGGAAAAGAAGGAATGGTGCTGTCAGGAAATTTGAGGAGAAGGAAGTAGCAGGACCTGGATATGGTTGGAGCATGTGGGTTAAAATGTGAGAAATGACAGATGGCCAAAAGTGCTGGGTTGCGCTGTTTTAAAGCTGGTGCATTTTAGGTATCAGTGCAAGGTGCTTCAGCAGCCCCCCCTAGAAAAGAAAGACTTTACCCTCTCCTCCGATTACAGACTACAGAAATGGCAATGCTGAATTTTGTTATGTTCTGATGCTCTGATAGCTCATTGTAGTTCATTCTGCTTACACTATGAAGCGCCAGCTGCAGTTATGATAGGCCTCTTTGTTGGCCAGTTTACATTTTGACTAGCAATAATTGTCTCTTTATACTTAATGCTATGGATTTCACTAATCTGAATAGTGTTTTGAGGGCTATTTGTTCAGCCTTACAAAGAGGTTCTTGTGTGAGTACAGCTCCAACAAGTGATCTAAGCAACTCTGATATGAAAAATAACAAAGTTGTTTTCCTTGTTATTTTATTGTAAATAGTTTATGTTTGCTGGTACACAGTGTTTTAGGAAATTTCTCTTTACGTGCGGACTGCGTGTCTTTTTCCGTGCTCATAAGGAGTGTGGGTCTGTTTGGCAACTGCAGTTTGGTTTCCTCTGGTGACCTCGGAGCTGGAGTAGAGCTGAGGATGTGGACTTGGTTACCCGAGGCTAACTGTCCATTTTGGGTCAGTCTCCTGCTCCAGTAACGGGTTAGTCTCTATGTGGAAACATTGGTTAAAACAAGAAAAAAAAGTGGTGATTCTGATGGGCTTCAAACAGGTCAAAAGGCAGAAAGCTAAGCCTGTTGGATGTCTATATCCTCCTGTTTCCTGTGCTAAGATACTTAAAGTCTACTCAGACTTTGGTAAACCAAGAAGCTTTTTATTTCTGAAATGAGCAAGAAATCAGGTGCTGAATTGCAGCCTCTTAAGACCACCCTGCGCTAAGGAACAAATCGCCTTGTCAAAAATATCCTTAAATACGAGTTTTTAGAGCTTTCCTGCAGAGTGGATGAACTTTGGGATCTTGAAAAGTATTCACTCTACACTAATGTGCAAGATTATTGATGTAATTTGGTGCAGACATTGGTTTGTGCGCTTGAGGTAGCGTTATGCAAAGCTAATCCCAGATTAGTGCCTTTCCAAGCAGGCAGGGTAGAGCTGGCGGTGTTAGCGGTGCTCGCAAAAGCTGCAGTAGGTATTAACAGTGCACCTGGCATCTTTGGAGACTGATGATTTTTATGTGCTAGTAAGATATTTAATGGGTTGAAGTAGGATTTAGTTCATGGAGAAGGGAGTGCTGCCCACAGCCTGGATTATAACATCAAACCTGGAGAGCAGTTCGTATTGCAGTACCGTCGCTTTCTTTAAATGTCCTTAAACTGAATGCAAAGAGCAAACCAAGTAACACTTCTCTCTTGAGAGCTAAATTTGTGTGAGGATGAATTTAAAAATGCAGGGCATATAGCTTCCACTGAAGTTTTTTTTTTTTATGGTTTTTTTTTTTAATATTTACTTGAGGCTATAAAATGTAATGTCCCCTTGAACTTTTCTCTAGTGTGGCTGAGTGCAGAACAGCCCTGATGGCTTTTGCTTCATAAAAAGAGAATCTTTCTGGAAGTATCAGGTTTTATAACTGTAGATATACAAATTATGTATTACTCTTTGCAATTTGGTCATTGCACATACTGTTTTATATGTTTGAGTGTTACGTTTTTATGTATACACACATTTCTCTATAGAAGTCATATGTAACCACTAAGTTCAGTCACTGGAAACAAAATACTCCTCCATCTCCAGTGCCTTACTGCCCGGATGAAATTAAGAGATGGCCAAACATCTGATCCTTATATCACTGTAGCAACTGGCCTGGCCTCCTCAGGAAGTGTTTGTGCAGTCCTGCTGACTTGTGCAGTGGCCAAGTGACACAAAACTGACCTGCAGGACAAAGGGATCGGCCACGGCGCTGGCGTGTGCCCAGCGGTTGGGTCCAACCCTCACGAGCCAGTGGCTGCAGAGGGATGCTGTGGAGCTGCTTCTGTAGCAGGTCACTCCCCTGATGTCCTCTGGCTGCTTGTGCAGCTTTTCAGCATTTTCCAGAACCGAACTGCAGCTTCTGTCTTCCTGTTTCCCCTTGGGGTACGTCTTCTGGGGCCACAACTTTAGTTTCCCTGAGCAAAAAACATGCAAGAGATTAGTTTCTAATAGCTTACCTAGCTATGGTTAAATTTGTATTCATTTAATTTCAGGGAAAAATTGTTGGAGGGATTCTTTCCTGAGACCTTGATGCCTTTTGACTATTGGGTTTTAAGTAAAACCCTTTTAATCACATTTTATCTGTATCACAGTAATGCACAAGGATTGTGCCTACACTGCGATTGTGCTTCTTGCAGTGTTTCTCTCTCATTTCCTCTGCTTAGAGATCATCTCTTCTGTCTGCATACGATTTTTAATGTTATCTGAAATAATTATGTTTATGTAATATAGTTATAAAATTATTATAATGAATATCTGAAGTCTTTAATGTTAAAGAAAAAATAAGATTGCCACCTGAGTGAGAGGGGAGATTTCTTTCCTGTTTACCAAGCCTGAGTTACTACTTGTCTCTTAAGGCGTATTTATTACATAAAGCAAAGAAAAAGTATTTCTGCCTTAACTTTAATTTCCTTCATTGGGTGGGATAGGTTACATAAGGCTATCATTTTAATATTGCACTACTTTCCTTTCCAACATTGGAAGCCTAACAAAAACTGTAAATCACAGTTTGCTTGCAGGGAAAAATGTGAGACAAATAAGATGTTTTAGTTTTGTGGGATTCTTCTTCCAAGATTAAATTCCAAGAACTATTTGTTTCAAGAGAGGATTTTTAAAGCAAGAAGTCTGACTGGGTAGTGTCTTTTTGCTTGTGTAAGAATTGCAAGCTGGTTGGGGTGGCTTTTTGAAGAGGGGGGAAGCTCTTGCAGCACTCGGTGTTAAGCTGCCCTCACACTTGTTGTCTTCCCTCTCCTGAAAAAAAGGAGAACTGCAGCTGCTGTTTGGGGCTTTTTAAGGCTGAGCAGCTGTCAATAAGCAGAGAGAATGTACATGTTTCAGGTAGCTTTGCATCGGATACTCTGTGAGTTTTCCTTTTCTGGCGGAGAGATGCTGAACTGAACAAAAGGAGATGCTGTCCTCTCTTAGTTCCTATACTGAGGAGGGTTAAGCTGTGATATTTTCAAGGTCTTGCATATGACTATCTGGAGATGAGGTGCCAGAAATGATGCTTCTGAGTATGAGGGTAGCTTCAGTTAGAATTTCAGAGTTAGCTCAGATGTTTTGTATTTGGTCTTCGTACTTGGCTTTACCCGTTCCACTGCACAGCCAGTTGAGAGCGAACCACAGCAGACAGCTGCATGGGGATGTGCAGTTGCTGCTTTTGCTACGCTTCAGTTTTGGACAATTTTGGACTGCTTTAAAAATTCTGGCAGAAGCAGTAAATCTTAGATTCTCATTCAGGATGAGCTGAAGCCTCTGTGAAGCTCCGCTGCTTCTGCAGCCCAAACAGTGGGCTGGTTAACAGGAGGGATTGTTTAACAAGCTTTTCTTCTGTTGGTAAAAGTGAGGGAGACTTTTCATTTAAAGGACAAAACCAGACTGCTGTAGGTGGAAATGTTTTAAACTCTCATTGTGGGAATTAAATCACTTTCTGCTTTTTAATGGTGTAAGGCAGGATAAGTGTGATTTGGATTTGGAGAGCTGTTGGATGTTTGCCTGTATCCTTGGAGTATGGAGTAAATGGAGTCTTGATAATCAGAAATAGAGACTTTGTTTTTTGTTTCCATTCTCACAGTAGATTCTTTTACGTGATTGATCTATGAAATGGCAGAAAATGGAACAGACTGTGACCAGAGACGCATAGGAATGATCAAAGAGCAGCACAATGGAAGCTTCACAGGTAGGTAGAAAATCAGTCTGCTTGGTGAGTACAGTGCCAGCACAAAACCCAAAAAGGATTTTCTCTCGGTACAACTTATACCTGAGTAATGCAAAGGGAGAAACTATCAGTCTTAAAGATTTTAGTCACCTATAAATCTGAAGTCTAGAGGGTTTTTGTGTTGTAAAATAGTTTCAAATTGTGCATTTACGTTTAGTTTCTCTCTTATGCTCACTTCTCCCTTCCATGTTCCTATTCCGTAGTTCTTTTGCATGTGACCCCTGTAAAGCTGACTGGAGGTCCCAACAGGGGCTGCACCAGGACTGTGAGCTAAAGAGCTGAACTTGGTTGGTGAATATGTGGCTCTCCAAGTCAGGCTGCACAGCCCCACCCTTTGGCCCTGGAGAGCTAGGACTTGGTAATAAATTTACTCTGGGAGAAATCCAATTTTAGTTTCCCAATTTCTAGCATTTATGTTGAAATTTAGCTTCACTGCAGTTTATTGTTTTCAAGGATAAATTACTAACTGAACAGTTAACTACTACTTCCTCACGTCTGCTTTTCTTAGTGGTGTGTCTAAAGTAGGCCAAGATTAATTTTTAAGGTTCATGAGAAATAACCTGAAAACATTTTAAGAGCCCTCATGTTACTGAATATCTATATTGTATGGTATGGTGTAAAAAATGATAATCAGCTTTGCTTTCTGTCAGCTTTGAATGTATCAGTTCCACATTTAATTAAGTTCTGTAACCACACGATCTCTCAAGATGTTTGCTGCCTTCCACCATTGGCTTTTATGATCTTTGTGTTTTACAGCTTTGTATAGCTTTAATGTTGAAAAATTCTTATTAGATATATTAAGAGAAAAGGTAGAGAATAAGAATTTTGGAAGCCAGGAGCGTGACAAGAATTTAAGCGGACCTGGATATGTGTATTTATGGAAACAATCAAAACCTTACTTAGCCTTGAATCAGTTTGTAGCTCTGAGGGATTGTAGATATTATTCAGTATTGCCACTGGAGGAATTTTGTGAGTTATCTAAAATAACTGATGCCGGCAGCTAAAGAATATGAAATCAAATGGGCCACAATGACTAATGAGGGCTGCAATTTCTGTGTTTGATAAGGCAGCATGTTTCAGTGTACTGCAATAAGACTGGAGTAATACTGCTTGGGTTACAATACTATAGGGGGTTTGGATTAGATTCATACTTTTAATAATTTCCACTACGTTCTGAATGCAAATTAACAAATGTTGATTAGAAACCTCTTTTTTTCTGGACTTGTACTCTAGCATACAATCATTTTGGACACTGAAATTTTGCTCAAATAAAGACGTTATCACAGTTAAAAGTAACCAAATGCATAGTGTCAGTCCAGTGAAGGACTGGTTTAAAAACAGGCTTCTAGTGAGGTCCTGTCCTGTGTGCTGAGCTCGTTTTAGAGGAACTGAACGAGGGGGCAAGGCTTTTAACCAAGCCCCAGGATCCTGACGGGAGCAGGGATGCTATTATCCAGTTACACGGTGGCTGGAGTGTATAAAGAGCACATGTAACTTAATCTAGTTCGATTGGAGATGTCTAAGAATAGTTTTGGAAAGAGGATCAAATTCAGAAGTTCAAAATAAATGCGGTCTCCGCAGGGGGTAATGGAGATGTGTTTGAGTGAGCGTGTTAGCTGATATCTAACTAATAGGATAGTTCATTGCATGAAGGCTAAGACATTGCTAGAGTACTAGCACCTTGGGCCAGTTAGGTTCCTGGATGGTTGTAAGCTACATGGAAGTGAAAAAGGCTCCACACTGAATTTATTGGGGGTCACCTCTCATTTCTGGTGCTCCTGGAGGAGAGGCTTTGTTAGGGATAAAGAAGATAAGCAGGAGCTGACATAAATTCTTTAACAAAGCAAGCAAATATTGCTGTGTTTTTGGGGTAGTTGGAATCTGAGCAATCAGTCTGTGCTTTTACATTTCTGTTGCTTTTCATTTGCAGATTCTTCTTTGTTGAATGAACGGAAACGAAGGGACCGAGAGGAGAGGTTGAATATTGTCCTCTGGAGGCAACCACTTGTTACCTTGCAGTATTTTTTCCTGGAAACTCTAATAAACTTGAAGGAATGGACCATAAAGTAAAGATAATTTCTTTAATTACTCTGAGCATTCTGGGGAAACCTATACAGTGATTCAGTAGATCGTTCTGACATCTCACTTTTTCTGATGATTCACAACTTTAAAATTCTTCTGCCAGAAAACATTCTTTTTGTACCTTAAAGGTGGCTACTGGAACATACCACACTTCCAGCTGTGTACCCAGACCTTCTGCCTAACTTACATAAGTATCAAATACAGAATGGTCTTGAAGGAAAAGAATTGCAAACTTCCTTTTTGAAGAGTTGAATATTTGAAAGAATGGGACAGTATTTAGGGATCCTGAAGGCAAGAGCTGCTATTCTTATTACTGCAGTGTTAAGTACTGATCTCTTAATGTATGCATTAGTGTCACTAAATGACTTTTCAAATAACTCAGCTAGGGCAGAGTTCAGGATTACGTGGAACTTACAGTCTTGTTTATGAAACTGCAGAGAGGACTTTGCTTTTAAGCTGCATGGTCCCTTTCACAGTAGGAAATGATTTATTAAAATGCTTTCCCTAAGCATTATATACAAACTAGATAGAACTGGCTTTTATTTCATCTAGAACTGCTACTTACCAATTTTCTAATATTCTCTACTAATGCTGAAGTGCAGAACTATTTCTTAATGCGCTAGACTTTGGTGTGCCAAGAGACAAACATAAGTAAAATCAAGCTGACAAGTGAAAAAGCCAAGAGTAGCAGTCAGTGTCAGTAACAGGAAACATTCACAGTTGGGGTTGAGTGTACAATCAGTTTTATGATCAGGACGTAGGATCTAATATCATCATGGGCAATTCTAGCAGCTTACTAAAACACACAGTAGAAATAACATTTGAGATGTTACTTTAAGCTGACTGTTGCCTGGCTTCCTAGGCATTATTTTTGGTTGCAGGATGGAAGTGTGAGGTGTGTTGTGCAATGTATTTACAGAAAATAACACTGGCCATATATTAACAGCTTTTGAGACCTCAAATTGACTCTCCTGTGTTCTGCTTCATTGCATTGTGCTTTAAATGGAGATAATCACTTGAAAAGCCTTTTTTTTTTTTTTTTTTTCTTCCCTATCATACTGGTATAAGCAGTGTGGATGCTTTTATACTTAGTGACCTTCTTCAGCTTGCTGAATTGATAAATTTGCGAATGTTTTCCTGTGTTATAATTCCCATAATTATTTATTTTTCTATTTTTAAATAGATTAAAATGTTTATTATTTGTTATTTCATGTCAGACTTTTCAAAATGCTTTAAGCATTAGATGTATATAGAGATGTATAATAACTTTTCCAGAAAGTAACAAAGTAAATGCTTTTTTCAACAACTGCCTACAGCTGCATACACATTATGCAGTATTGTTGCAACCTTGTAAAACTAGACAGGTGCAAACGTAATTGGATCTCAAATTACACAGGAAAACACTTTCCTCCCCTTACCGTAATAGTTTCTGAATGTTTCGTAATTAGCCTAAAATGTATTTTTCAGTTTGACAAATATATTTGAGCTGTTACAAGAAGCAATTTCAGCAGAATAAGAGAACCAAAAGAGTGTCAGGATCTGTTCCTCTTGCTGTCTGGGCCCTGCCCATGAGCGCCCAGTTCAAACCCAGCACTTGTGCATCCACCTGCAGCTCGTGCTGTGCCCAGGGGCTGCTTCCACCCTGCATTAACCATGAGAGGCTTCGCTGGCTCTGTGTTTGGAGCTCGGAGGCTGAAGGAATGCTTTTAGATGGCATTTGTTTTCCAACAGTTGCTTGTTTGTTTGTTTGTTTTTTTTTTAAAGGGTGGGGGGAATGTGTGGCTGAACTTTGATTTCACCTGACAGTAAATTCTAGATTTTTCCATAATGAAGACTGGTTCCCTAGTGTTTTTAATTGGGACAGTAGCAAAATGTACAGGGCAGCAAAGTGGCCCTTGTTGCCACTGGGTCTATTCATCCAGACCCAATGTATGGGTATAACTAAGTGGATTTGAAATGCATACTAAAATATAAAAAACCCTAATTGCCTATTTTTTTTTTAAGATTGTGGCATCGGCGAAGTGTCTTGGTGTCTCTCTTACTGATACTTGCAGTACTAACAGCTACGTATTATGTTGAAGGAACACATCAACAGGTATGAAGTTTTCAAGTTACTTAGTGAGTAATCCCTGTGCTCAAGTACATGTGCTGGGGATTAAATGGGATCCCACTGAAACCGTAGCATGTCTTTGAGCTCCTGCTTGCTGTGGGTATTTGCTTCTCCTGTTACCACTTCCCTCTCTTGCCTGTGGATGAGTTGTGTTTTAGAGATGGGTGAAGCTGGGTGTAAGGTTCGATCTGTTGCATCTGTGTGTGTGTTGGTAACACCTCACTTAGGTGTGCCAAGCCTCTAGCCACACACAACCAGCACCCTTGGCTTTTCCTAGGAGTACCTATGATGGTCACCCACTGATCCAAGATAAAAAAATCAGCCTTGTGACTGAGAGCAGCCAGTTGTGCTCTCTTGTCTGCTCAGGCAGCACCCGGCGCTCGCTCTGCTTGTGCTGGGCTCCAGGGGACACTGCAGGGACCTGCTGCTCGCTGCCCAGCCCTGGGATGGTTGCTGGGGATTTTCAACTGCCCAGTATTGATCCTGGAATTTTTGCTTTGCTTCCTTGGAAACTTGCAGATTCGTAGGCTTTTGTTTTGAAAGCGCTCTCACTATTCTGTGTATGTGTCTGGGCTGCAATTGTAATAAATAGCACATAGAAGCATCTAGGGTTCTGTTTTGGTTATTGTGATCCAGTCAACTGTAGATCAGTTTGTATCTTTCTTTTTCAGTATGTGCGATATATGGAGAAAAAGTTCTTCTGGTGTGCCTACTGGGTAGGATTGGGCATTCTGTCCTCTGTTGGACTCGGAACAGGTCTTCACACTTTTCTGCTCTATTTGGTAAGGAAACTTTCACCCCCCGTTCTTTCTGAAATGGGTATGACAGTTCTTGCATTTAGTTTTCCGTAAGACTTAAGTTTCAAATGCTTGAATTAACAAAATAAATATTTGGTGTTAATGCATCTGTGCTCTACCGAATGCTGTTTTCCTTCTATGCTGTGCAAACTGGTTTTGTAGTTTGTGTCCTGTGTTTATGCTGAGCAGTGGATAGAAGCCTGCTGCTAATCCTTGCTTCAAAAGAGTGAGTTAAAAACAAATAAAATTCAAATAAACAATGCAAGTAAAACATTTTCTAATGTATGCAGCTCAAATGTTTCCATTCATTTTTTTTTTTTTATTCTCTCTTCTGGTAGCCTAAAATGATCTTTTTTTTTCCTATCTGAAACCCCTAAATAGGCAGTTATTGTAAAATTCAGTCTGCATTCATTTTGCTTTAAAAATAATAGCAAGGAAAAATGTTTGGCTACAAAGGTAAAATAATCTCTCTGTTGTTCTGAATTTGTATTATGTTGTTTATTTCAACTTTGTTAGCTAGGAAAGTCAGGGAAATGTTTGGGTGTGTTTTGCTTTTGGCCATTGGATTAGTTTCTTGTTTATGAAACCACTGTCCTGGATTTAAGAAAAGGCTTCATGGCCACAAAAATAATTAAAACCAGTTTATGCAACAAATGTCATCTTGTATTTGGGACAATTACAGATGTTTACTTTTAGGACTACTTTAATCATTAACAATAACACAAAAAGCACTACATGAAACAAGAAACTCGTGTTTTTCCATGCAGTAGAGCAATGTCTGTTAGACCTAATGACATCTCTACAGGCTGCATTCGCATCGACATTGAACTTGCATCCTCCATCTAGCTTCTTTTCTAGAGTCTTTGGAGGCAGAAATGACAGGCGAAAGAAAACTTAGCTTCATTCTGATTTAAGTTGGCTGTGAACTTTAGCTTTGGTAGGAATGCTCACTGTAAAAACATTTGCAGTGGGTTATGCTGCTTTTTTTGTACATTGATTTGATGCGGATACTGCTTTTTTTTTTGTACATTGATTTGATGCGGATTCACAAGAGTGTTGTCCTTTTGTACCATGGGCCACTGAAGGTGATTTTGCCACATAAAGAAGCCTTCAAAAGATACCACTACTTTTCCTTTTCTTTAAGTGGAATGAACAGATCTTTCTTTTACTGCAGATTTAAAAAATCAAATTTTTAAGTAATTCCAGATTATTTTAGTAGGAATTTTCTGTGGAGCTTGTGAATCAAGTGGACATATTGAGGCCATTACCTGACCTAATGTTAATGTATATGCAAAATATTACACCTTTATTGGGTTAGTTCTCAGTATATTTTTCAGTGGTTGCATAGGAGAAGCAATAAGTGAACAGTCCTCAAAAAGTAACGTGAAGGAGCATCATCTAAGAAACAAAACTTAGTTTAATACTGTTGATGACCACGTTATTGTGTCCCTTTGACCCTTTCTAGCAAAAAGGCTTCCTCAAAGAGCTGCTTGGGTGTTTCAGGGGGCTACAGATATCTGTATCAAACTTTAAACCACACAGACAGGGAAAATGGGGTGAGTATCTAGGCAGCTGCCACTGATATGAAAAAATTAATTGTAAGAGCGATTGATTTGTTTGTTGCTTGTTACGAACACCGAGTGGTTTGTAACGCGGCAGGAAAGATGTGGCTCTGTAGCCGCTAGATGGCACTGGGAGTGTGAAAAAAGAAGTTTAACAGCGCGTTGCCATTTTAAGTATCACAACTGATAATGCTCCCGCCAATACAGCTCTAGCAGCAGTGTGCGTGCGCGTGTGTGTGTAAATCTATGTTAAAAATAGTTATGCAATCGATCTGGTATAAGAATGACTCTGGGGATTTGCCTCGTTAGCTCTTTTCCAGCGTGGAACACAGTTCTTCATCTGGATCCATCCGAACTTCTTGTGCCCGTTGCTTTTTGGAGTGATGTGAATCCAACTTTGAGGAGAGATTCCTGGGCTCAGCTGAGTACAGAGTATGTGGAGGGGGCTGTTTTGCACGAAGTAGGTTTTCCAAGCTAAAGCAGCCTCAGTTTGGGCTTTTGTTGCTCACTGGGTGCATCGGGATGCTGTGTGCGTCTTGGTGTAGGAGGCAGAAGTTAGCTTTGTTAGTTTGATCATAGGCTTTTTATTACTATTTTTGCAGCTCAAGAGCTTCCTATATGATAGAAAGGGTGTAAACATGGTTGGCTGCAGTGGCTCCTGGTATAATGCTGCTTCCTTAGCTTTAACCAGCCATAAATGTAAAATTTCATGTGGCCCTTGAGGAGAGGATTCCCTCACTTGCCCCAAAGTGCCCCGGAGCTGAGGAGGTGGCATAGGGTAGGTCTCCAGTGCGGAGCTGCGGGCCATCCTTCCAGCAACCCTTCTTATTCAGCCCCCTTTTAAAACAAGTCTGCTGGCTCATTTTCTTCAAGTCCATTAAAGGTTTTTCACAATCCTTTAAAAACAACACTATTAAAAAAAATGGCAATCACAGTGTGGTTCTGCAGGAAATAAAACTATTACGATCAACGACTCTATGATGTTTAGCCAGACACAGGTGTTTTCCTCCTCCGATGGCGAAATGGTTCCTCCTGTATTGGTGGCGTGTTAAAATGCAATGACAGGAATCACCTCCTTGCCCTGAGGAAGCCTCGTCTGAATTGGTCGCGCTTGCAGCCCACAGAGAGCTCTGGATGCTGGTAGGAGAGGCAGGGCCCGCGCGGGGGACGCTAGAGGGAGCGCTGGGCCGCCCGTGTCCCCGCCGTGCCGCGCGCGGCCTCGCCGTTGTGTGCAGTTCCTCTCGCGGCGAGCGAACGCCGCCAGCGCCCGTCACGGAGCGGGTGGGCAATGCCCCTTTGCTGTCGATCTGCTTGGCGATCCCTGGTGTCAAGGCACGAATGGGAGCAAGTTCCTCGCCGGTCAGAGCTGCCCTTGGCTCCTGGCGCTCGTGTGTTTCACGTGTGGATCTCGGCTCGCTCACGGAGCCGGGGGGAGCAGCGGCTGAGGAGGTCCCCGGCGCGCGCGCAGCTCGGAACGCGGGTCTTTTCGGAAGCGTCAACGTGTGGCGGTTGTCACCAAATCCTTCCTGGAGGAGCGCCCTGCAGCAGAGGGAGAGCAGGGCAGTGACCTCAGCTGAGGAAAAAGAGCAGAAAACTGCCCTTAAAGAGAAGGGAATGGAAAACTCAGGGTCTCTTTGGAAAGGTGCCTGGGGTCAGCGTCACGCTCTTGTTCTGAATTGCCCGCAGTGTTGGGTGCTGGTGAGAGGTCCCCTGCTTGCCCTGGCTAGTGAGTCCTTGTGGCCCCGTGTGAACCGAGTTGAGGTTAGGAGCTTAAAATCCGACTTAATATCTGGACACTTTGTGCAATAGTGAGCCCGCTAGCTTTTCCAAAAAACATTTTCAATGTAAATCATTAAAAAAACAACTACACACCCTTTTTCCAGCCAGGACTAGTGAAAACTTTTTTTTTTCTTTAAACTGAATGTGATTCCTTTGTTGTTATCTAGTTCCAGGTGCTGACGCTGAGCTTGTAAGGAGACTCGTGATAAAATTACACAAGTGGTTTAAAAAAACAAAGAAAAAAGTCATAAGGCTTACTCTAGTTTTCTGAAGTATGCATAATAATTTGGAAACCCACAGAACTTGTTCTCTTTTTTTTTTCTATTTATTTATGACTTTAATCCAGGAGTGTTTTCCCCAGTGACTGTCAGCTTCAGAAGTTTTGCCCTGTTAAGGTGGATCATTCAAAGTGAATATGAACAATGCAGAAAACGGCAGGTTCCTTGGGTGGAGGAAGACGTGGGAGTTGGAAGCGGAGCGGCCCTTGGGCGCTGCAGCCCCCCTGTCCCTTCCCACCCGGGGTTCCCCTGCACAGGGGAGTCCTTGTCACCAGCCTGTATCATTCTTCACGTGTCAGTTCGCAATCATAAAAAAAACTGAGCCATAGAGCAACTGGGGATAATATCTCTGCTCAGCTTACTGCTGTTAATGTTGCTAAGAAGGAAAAACACACGGTGGGTCCAGAAGGCTGGAATTTGTTCTAAAATAGGTTGAAACGGAGCCCGCCTGTGTGAGGATTTTGTGGCGCTTTCATTTGTTTTCTTCGTGCCTTTAAACCTACTTCCTGTAGCTGTCCTAGGGTTTTTACAATGAGCTGGAACATCCTGGAATACTTGAATCAACACAACTTGAAGCGATCGTTTTTTTGCTATCTCCTGGTGGGAACTCCTGCCCACATTCCCATGGGAGCTCCTGCGTTGATAACGTGACGAGCTGGAAGGGTCTGTGGATCAACTCCGTGGGGCTGCCTGGTGGGTGTGTGACCTGGGTGTTCCTTAAATCTTCTGGTGGCTTGTTTGTATTTAACAAACATGACACTAAAAATGATATTTTCAAGGGAAAAACAGCTCATTAAGAGTCTAAATCCCTCTAAGTGCCTTTGTTGTTGTTTTGTGTGTCAAATGGCAGTAGGTATACACAAAGAATGAGCCCAGAGCCTCTGGTTTACATCCCGGTGGATTAAACTGGAGGCAAAAACCTCTTTGACAGCCGCAGCCGCGGGTGTGAGCGCGCGCTGAGCCCCAAGGCCCGTTCCCTTTGGGGGGTTCCAGGAATCCAAAGCCGTGGTGGTCGGAGCGGCGCGCGCCTGGGAAGCGCGGGGCCGACGCCGCCGGTGCCGCTGCCCCGCTCCGAGGGTGGGAAGCGCCGGCGGGACAGCTGGAAGCAATAACCTCTTGTATTGCCCCACCACAAGCTGCTGGATCTCATGAGTCAGAGCCCCGCACGGTGGGACTGCGAGCTCCAAATATGGCCCGCGGTGCTGCTCGGCGCGTGGACGTCAGAGGCCGGACGGTTTATCTAAAAGGGGAGCTGTGGTAATAAACAGCTGAGGAGAAGCACCTACATCTGTGCAAGGTTAGCCACCCTCGGGCTTTTCAAAAGTCTGCGAAAAAGTGGTGCATTCAGATTTAAACTGCATTGAGC